TCTGACTGCTTGCAAGATTTCCTTAACAGCTGACGACGATAAAAAAACACTGTCAAACCTGGAAATACTGGAGTGCCGCTTCCTACTTAATTTGACACTTCTCAACGGTATGCACCCACCAAAGTTTGACAAACACTCGCCGATGACATTACATTGCCTAGTGCCAGTTGCGCTATGTCGTGAACTGGAATAGAAGTTGGAATGCATAGGTCAGAAGGTTATGACTTCGAATCCTGGAGGTAAGTGCATGAATGCCGTCGAAGAGTCCCAGACTAGGCTCACGAGGAGGCTGTCCAGTAACAGTACTCCCACCTACCTGGCTTACCAATCATTCTCCCACCGATATTACCTCATGATGAAATCCTTCCTGTAATCTCTTTTCCCTTTATCGAGACCCAATTAGTCCTCAAAGAATTATGGGTTACACAGTCGTAGGTGGCATATTTAGTCAAGTCAACAAGCTGATTGATACTCATAAACAACAATAAAGCAAAACAACAAGTGCATATTACTGTCACGCACGTGGTCATCAGTACGATGTATGTACATACGTCACCACCATCATTAACAACAACCAAAAGAAAAAAGAATTTATTACCATTATCATAATTGTAAGAATATCTTGGTAGCTCACTTTCACTACGGTCTAAATCAATTTCCCTAATGAACAGCTGCTGCTGGTCGGGGTGCTGGTCGTGATGGTTGTCAACATCATTCACACGAAGACCAGCTTTCGTCAATGATGATGATGATAATGGTGCTGACGACATTGACAACGAAGACATTGAAGGAAATGGACCGTGTTGATGATGATGACTACTATTCAGGAGATCACGGCGTTGATTCATGCACTGAAAAATGTGATCCCATAAATTAGCCGATATTTCCATTGAATGTGGTACGATAATCTCAGCCGGTGGTGTCGGTGTCGCTGTTGTGGATGTTGATGCTATCTTCTTCGTGGTCATCAAAGAAGATGGAGATAAAGACGACGAAGACGAAGAAGCGATAGTTGGTAAAGATGACATTGATGGACAGGCATTTGGCATCTGTACATTCCCATCATCAGTACTGATGTCTAACGAAGGCGAATTCTCATCAGAATTGAATGTGTAAATACAACAAATATAGCATAAAGTGCCCTAAAAATAAAATTATTATTTCTTTGTAACAATCAATTCATATCACATAACAAAATTACGATAAGATAATACAAGTATACAGTGCAAAATATCAACATTCAATCGCCAATATTTACGCAGATGCAGTTTTCCAACAATAGTTCCCTGTTCAAGTCTTTGAACCATCAACGGTATTGTATAACGCCGGACGACAATGTCAACTGCACTGCACACCTGGCCGCGGTGGGAACACCATCAATGACTCACTGAGAAATCCAGGTACATCCAGCTAGTTGACGAGTGAGTCCCTAATAGAACGAAATGCGCATCCTGCTAGACTCCACTGCTAGTCACTATCCATCAATTAATTTTCTCTAATCATTCGCATAAATATATTGGCTGACAGAAGAAGGCCCGAGAGGACGCTTAGTGCTATGACGATATGTTTTGCCGTTAAACTGAAACTGCACGTTTATCGTACACCGCGTAGTAATAGTAATACTACACAAACAGTCACCTGTGTATCTCCTACTTCACCAGATATATAAATGTATAGCCTGTTGTAAATACTTATAGAGTGTAACGTGAACACTAAGTCTTTAACAGACTAAGAAGTATTGACTTGACATTGGTGTTAAAATCCAGATCTTGTCATTGTAACTAAACGCTGTGGATCTCTTCACAGTGTTTTCAAAGTGATGTGAATATACCGGTTGGTTAATTTGAATTAAACATCGACTAACTAACTAACTAACCAACCAACTAACTGACACTTTATTATCGATGGGTGCTACTTAACTTCAGAGAAAAGTATCTCTAAATCAGAGATAGACAGACAACTCTGTAAACTAAAAAATGAATTATTATTACAAGGTAAAAGACACGACACACGAACAAACGAACACAAAAGGAAGCCAACACCTACCCAATGCTCTGAAAATGCATGCTGTGTTAACGCCCAACGAGTACACAGCACTGTGGGACAAATAGGACATGTAAAGGTTAAGCTTCCTTTAGTTGCTTCTAAAAGGTGGGCGTCAAATTGTGGAGAAACACCAAATCGTAGCTACATTAGATTTTTTACGATGAAACAGAATAGGAGAGAGAAGGAAATAAAAGATCAAGTGGGTGTACAGGGAATCACTTAAAAACAAAACAATCGTCTAAGTGCTACACATTAACCTGCGAACAGAACAAATAGAGTACTTAGGTCACGAGCTGACACATCACTCAGAGAACTATTAGAAAACCATAGAGTATTGAGGACAGCTGTTTCATCCCAGCCCAACCTACAACCTCATTTCTTGGTGTACCCGCTGGTCACAATTCCCCATATATCACGAATCAACAGAAATTGGAATTCATAGACCGTTGAATTAGGTCCTATCATTGGCTGAATGAACTACAAGATCACCTTGTAAGCAGGAACTCCTGGGTACTAACCCGATGGGCGTGTACTGATCAAGAGTCACACTCTAGGATTAAAACCCGCTGTTCACCTCAGAGTAAGTAAGTCAGGATGTACAATTAATGGAGTAGACTGTCTGTCTGGATTCAACATAGAACTTGGCACCGAAGTGCAGCAGTTCGAGTTGCCACCTTCCTAATAGCACACAGAGGTAGACAAGAAGATGAGTGAAGAGAATTAATAGAGTTTGACAAATATAAGAGTGAAACAGAATGGGTAATGGTAGAAAGGAATATGAAAGATTACAGAGATTGAATACATCTGCGCCATTGACAACGATTTTGAGCCATGCCACCTATTGTCTCCAGCCATTGATTCCTAGAGTCCCGAGGGCCCCAACCCGGGAGTCTGCATCTCCCTACCTGACTCAGTTTAACTGTCAAGGATTTCATGGATTGATGCCATGTTTTTGTTTGGCCACCACTGGCTCTTTTCCAACCTGAACCTATATCAGCTAACAATGCCCGTCGGGGGAGGCGGTGGTTAGGCATGCGCAGCACGTGACCTAGCCATCTTAGTCTATGTAACTTTATAACCTCGTCGATTGATTTTCCCTCTTTGCCCAACACTCTACGCCTAACGTCAACATTACTTATCTTGTGAAACCACCTAACGTGAGACAGAGACGTATTATAACCTCCTAGTTAACCAGAGTTGGGTGGCAATATAACCCAACTGAGAGAAACATCTTCCTGCTGTTACGATCCACTACTCGTCAGCAAAACAAAATTCACCTTCACAGACTCTCAAACACTGCATAAGACACCTACACAATCATGGAAACTACTTCAAGTTTGACCATGCTGCTATGCAAACAATCTTCCTTACACGTCAAGATATATGCAAGAACATTCCTTCTAACCAAGACAACAGAGCTCGTTGAGTCATTTCGATATGTGGGAGACCGTTGATACCGCCATGTCTGAGGAAACAACATGGTCAGATAACATAATTCACAAGAAACTATATATAAATAAAACACATAATAAAATCCTTAAGGATAACGAAAAATAATGAAGGTAAATTGCGTAAGACAAAAGTGCAATCTTTGTGTTATGTTGCTGCTGCTGAGTGGTTAATAGTAGTTTTCCCCGTCGCCAAATTGTTATGTACTCGTCGCTAAATTATTGCTATGTACTGGTCGAGAATTTAATAGTCCTGACGCAAGAAGGCGGAAATCAGAAGACCACTAGGTTTGCGATGATACTTCTATTTTCCAAACACAAGGAGAAGCAATAAGTGGTATCACACCAAAGTAAGTAAGTCACACAAATTGTGAGAGCGAAATATATATGACCATCCAGACAAGGGTGTGAACAAATCAATAGACAGTCTTAACATGAATGGCTAATTATAATGGAGTGTCGATCCATATATACATAGCAAAATATAGCAGACATGTCAACAACCACCATATATGGATATATGTCACCAAGCAACGGACTGTCAACAAACACTCATATTATATATAAATAATATAAGGGGAATATACATTGTTAAAGGAGACAGGTTCATCAAAGTGAAATGGTCACAGACTACGCGAGCAAACAGAAAGAGAGACCAACATACACATATATATATATATATATATATGTGGATACATATCACCTCCCCTTTTGAGAAGATTGATGATTAGTAGGATGTTTTCCTGGGGGTTTATCTGGAACCTTTGAGCTTGTTGTTGACGTCTGTCGTTTCGTCTGCCTGTTGGGTTTGCGGCTTCGGCTTCGTCCGGAATTGTCTGACATTTTATGCTTCTTGACCGCATTGCATAGCGAATTTAGTGGGACATCAGCCAGATGCAAACGATCGAACCAATCAAGTCCCAAAAGATTTAAATCACTCTTGGTGACGTAGCAAATTCCTGTGAATTTGGTATTGCGGAAGGAAACAGAACATTTGAGTTCACCAATTAGTTTGAGGAGCCTAGGACAGGCGCTGAGAAGAGTCTGGGAAGTATTTGCGATTGGTGGTCTGCCAATATTATTCCAAAGTTTCTCTGATATAACAGTAATATCAGAGGCGGTATCTAGCTGCAGACGAGTATCATGACCATTCATCTGAAGGTCAATATATTTCCGCATACCTGGTGTTGTGACTTGACAGGTTGCGAGTAGACTCAATGATCTCCTTGGAGATTTAGGACCAACAGTTTGTCGAGCTTTCGCTGGATTATGATATCTGGGTTTGCGTGGCTGACAAAAACCATTTTTATGACCGATGATTTTGCACTTGCTGCAACGATGATTTTTGTACGGACAAGACTTTACAAAGTGCCACGCGCCACAATGCCAGCATGGTGATGGTGGGGTCTTCTTTGCAGTAATTTGAGAAGTTGGACGAGTATGTGTAGATTTCCGCGGAACATTAGAAGAGGGTGGGTCAGGAGTGGATGATGAGAGATTTTTGCTCTTTCGTCATGCATAAATATCAGAGCTTCTCGAAGGTGTTGATTCGACCAGGTGTGTATCTTTCTGCAAATTAATCAGCCGTTGATATTCATCAGCTATGTCATGTAATGTTAACTTAGGATTTTGTTCTAGCTGATTGAGCAGTCGAGTTCGGATATCTGTGAAACGAGGAGACTGAAGACTGCATATGAGAATTAAGGCTTTGAACTCATCATCTGTTAAGGACCTGAGTCGAAATCTCTCACATTCTCGGTTGACTGTGCCAACGTGAGTAAGAAAATCATCATTTTCATTCATTGTCAGCTTGAGGCAACGATAACGTATACTGAATAATGAGGAGTGGTCTCCAAAATGTTCATTCAGCAGCTTTATTGTATCACCGAAACACTTGTCACGTGGTTTCTGGGGTAAAATTAGGTTGCAGTACCGTTCATATTCTGCGGGACCCAATTTACGTAACAACACTCGCACCTTCCAAGCATCGTCTTGTGAGGCGAGATCAACAGTGAATAAATCCTCATAACGTTGATACCATGTGTCGAAAGTGATATTCGCATCTGGATTATAATTGAACTGTGAAAAACTATTCACAATTCCATCGACAGATGGTAGCATGGTATGGTTCGGATTGCTTGAAGGTGAAGCTGGACCAGTCTGTTGGTTGACGAACATTTCCATTAATTTCATTTGTCGTTCAAACAATAATTCCAATTTAGAAGGATCCATAGTTTTCCCGTCGCCAAATTGTTATGTTGCTGCTGCTGAGTGGTTAATAGTAGTTTTCCCCGTCGCCAAATTGTTATGTACTCGTCGCTAAATTATTGCTATGTACTGGTCGAGAATTTAATAGTCCTGACGCAAGAAGGCGGAAATCAGAAGACCACTAGGTTTGCGATGATACTTCTATTTTCCAAACACAAGGAGAAGCAATAAGTGGTATCACACCAAAGTAAGTAAGTCACACAAATTGTGAGAGCGAAATATATATGACCATCCAGACAAGGGTGTGAACAAATCAATAGACAGTCTTAACATGAATGGCTAATTATAATGGAGTGTCGATCCATATATACATAGCAAAATATATCAGACATGTCAACAACCACCATATATGGATATATGTCACCAAGCAACGGACTGTCAACAAACACTCATATTATATTATATATAATATAAGGGGAATATACATTGTTAATGGAGACAGGTTCATCAAAGTGAAATGGTCACAGACTACGCGAGCAAACAGAAAGAGAGACCACCATACACATATATATATATGTGGATACATATCCTTTTGTTATATGAACATTGAGGTAGAGCAAAGATTGTGAAAGAAAACAGGTGAGGGAAACATTCTCTTATTGGACACTAGGTAGTAACACTAATCTCATACACTTAGCGCTTGGTGTTAATGCTCACTGACTGACTGAATTCTATCAGTCGAGTTCGCAATGTGGCAATTACCACCCCTTGAAACTACGTTTCGTGCTTGTCGACCCTAGGTGAAGCGAGGCGCATCATCTGTAATAGTGATCGAATTCATGTACCTACCCAGATTCAAATCGATCAACATTTGCCTCCAACCATCATCTCATATCACCTATTCACATTTCAACGTCATCATGGCCACATTGCAAACTTGATTGACTTGATGCAATTCAGTCTGCATAAAACGAAAGAATCGGCGCATGATACTGGTTACCACTTCATGGCCCAATAAAAGTACCCACTACGCTGAATACCTCAGTGATAACATCTGTCAGTGTCCCACTTGAGTGTCCCGGCTCCAATGCTCGAAAGCGAAATGACTACCATCAAGATTAAAGAGACGTCATGTTGACTAGTGAATGCCAACAAGCACGAAACCTACCCACGTACCTACCTACCTACGTTAGGCATGGCTTCCTGAGCCGATTACCTTCAACTATCCAACAACAATGAAAAATTCTACTTATTATTTTTTGTTTTATAATCCGCCTACTATTAGCTATATCGGTGTATGGCGTGATGCTTTCGTTCTTATCACTGATAAAATCAATGAATTAACAGCTGGGTAGGTGAGTGCAAGGTGTCCATTTACAAGAGAAATATCGTCTGTATTGCCTTTCTGAATAGTTTAGTGCATCATTTTCTCTACCGTTAATTAGACCGTTCATTCCAAAGTATTTCTACAACTAATTGATTGAAAGTGATTTTGAAGGCTTTTCTTCTTTATACTTTTTCGCTTGGATTCTCTCTCTCTCTCTTTGTATTTACCCTTACCCACGGATCGTGTACTATTCCACATATTACTATTATTATTATTACTATTATTAACAACAACAATACATCTGTATACGTATCTGTGTTCACTTGGTCATACGAGGTGAGAATATCTTCTCTGTCTATTTTAGAACATAAGTCTACTCAAAGTGAACACACATACACCACCTATAAAATAATAATGACGATGATCACAGTGTGTAATACCAAATATAACGTGAGCACACATTTGTATGTATGTATGAGTGTGTGTATGGATGGATGGACGCACGGATGCAGCATCGCTGTTTCTCGTCCTGTGAATAAGGACACGACAGTATGGCATGATTTTCACTAATTAGGTCAAATAGTAAGCAGACACTATACACACACTATACACAAACATACATACATACATACATAGAAGTGTGACATACACTGTGTAACTTATTCCTGTTAAAATGAGATGGCCACCACCAAAACACACTGAGTGTGTGTCGTATAGCGCATCCAGTCTCATTTCTTATGCCAACCAACCGACCTACTGACTAACTAGTCACACAATTTCAAACGATAGCAGTCTCTCTCTAGATGGACATGAAAATGACGCCACATACATACACTACATAAGAACTGTCATTTTTTTGAATGAGAGAATAGAAGGCACAGGTGAAAAAGATATGTCAGTATAGACGATGATTAGCGAATTCAACGATAGCAAGGTTGGATTCCTCAAGAACAGAGGAAGAAGGATCTGTACCGATGACATCCTAGACAATGAATTAGTGTACACTTCCGAATTGTGCTGGTCCAAAAGGATTCATTTTAGTAGATTTGCAAGGAGGCACATGAGTAGTGAGTACAACAAAGAGAAACTGACCACACTTAAAAAAAGAAACAATTGTTCCCTTGGCTGAAATTCAATGAGAACCTGGCTAGTGAAGTCCTCCGTGTAAGATTATCGACAGCCATAAAGAAAGAGATATACTGCTGCCACGCTTTGCTTGTCATTTCCAACTACCTAGATGTGCTCTTCCAGATGTAGCCTACCCTACCGATCCTAACTAGCTTTGATATTCTCGTTCATTCTGTCCATAGTATAGTTGAAGCGATGCTGCGCTCAGGTAAGATACACAGACGACAACCATCCGTTCCCATATAGGATTCCCAGTACATATATATCACAGGATATATGCCAGGAAGGAAACTCTGAAATATGAGTAGAACAACAAATCACTCAGTGTTTCAGTGATATCTTAAAATAGATATAAGCTGATGCCTCTTATATATTTCTACAAGACTGATTATTAGTGAAGAAAGAATATTTAGTCCGACAACCTCTTCAGGTTCCACAATACACCGTATACATCTATAATAGTTAACGAATGGTCGTCATTGACAACACATCAACAGTTTTTAAACAACACTGAGTCACTAACATCAAAATTCCGCCTAATAGTCTATTCAAATAGATTGTCAATGGAGAACAGTTGAAAACATGCATAAATAATTTACTAAGTTGAATGTCCGATGTCCAAGTAAATGATCGTGATTACTAATCAATATATAGTAGACAATGCTCATATCATCAATATAATCTGGATGCTCAATTCGTCGCATTTACGAAATACATAATAGAGACAGTAAACAGAGGTGTGAGACAAAGAAATAGTAATAACGAAGAACGATATAGTTTCATTTCAAATCATAAGTCACAAGGAGTGGATGCATCTGCACCAGTCAGCCATTGAGAACGATTTTGAGCCATATGATCAATTGTTTCTGGCCTTCATTGGTTTTTTCCGTCACGAGGACCCCAACCAGTCAGGAAGTCCACACATTCCTACGTGACTGGCTAAAACTAACTGTTGTGGATTTCATTGAGTGGTGCCATGTTTTAGTTTGACCGCCACTAGCTCTTCTCCAGTCTGACCCTATGTCAGCTAACATTGCCCGTTGAGGTAGGTGATAACTAGGCATGCCCCAGTGACCGGTGGTGTCCGCACTAACACCCACTCGCTCACTCACTCACTCATGAAATCCGCATCCCGGTGGATTCCACTGCTATTGTGTCACAACCATCCATCAAAATTACTTCAAATTAAATAATCAACAGACATCGTCGAAACATGTGCTACTAGGTACTAGGAGCCAACCTATTACAACTACGGAGGCTAAATATTTTGGTCATTACATCAAGGCTGAATTAAAAACAAATAATGTTTGTACTTTTATTATCCTTGACTTTATTATTATTGTACTGCTATTATTATACTCATCGTTAATTATTGACATAGGGTTATGTACGACGCCAAAGATGAAACGTCGTTGTCGTCGCTCCTACACATAAACTGGTTAAAACGGTTAGAAGATGTTTTAAACCCACTATGCAAAACTCGAATTATGTAAGTTTGCTTTGAATGAAGGATACTTTTCAAATTGTTGACTGTCCAGTAGATGCGAACATACAAGATTCGAAGGTGGTGTATTCTTTTAGTGTTAATTCCTTGTTTACTAATGTACCACTGATTAAGACTGTTGATGTTATTTGTGATTACACATCTTCTAGTTGTTTTCCGTTCCTTTTTGCTTTAAAACTTATTTGAAACATTTATTACTATTATGTACTAACAACGTCCACTTCACATTTAAAGGTGAACACCTTTGATGAGTGGATGGTGTTGGCCACACAACATTTGATGCATCAGCCATTCGTATGATCTACTAAATCCGACAAAGTTTACACAAAGGGACACAATTCCATTTCTTCTGCTTTGCATAACAAAAGCTTTGACAATTACAATAACATAAGGTCAGAACTTTGTGTACACTGTGAACGATTGTAAAGATGATTGTAGAGAGACCGTGAACAAACTACGCGATTATCGCGTTACTTGAAGATTTTGCACAAGTGGTAAATACCCAACTCACCATGCAATAAAAACACACCCCGAAAATACTGGATTGTGCGTAGACACACACACACACATTTCAGAATAAAGCTATTATCATCTTGATTAAAACGGAGAGAAATATCTGAATATTCATCAAAAAACAAAACAAATATAGAGGTCGACGACAAGTCACGCAGGCACGCACACACACACACACACTCACAAACAAAACATAGAACAACAAGACTGGTGATGTCCATTAAGCACGAAATCTAACTTACATGTCGATAAACTTCTATACAACAGGGAATGTGATCATTAGGTTTCGGGAATAGAAATTCCTCTGATGAATACTGTCGATTATTTGAAGATGACGATGATGAACTCGGATGCTGACGCTTCAATCGACGTAGTTGTATAGGATCTGGAGGAACAATACACGATGACTTGTACTTGTCTGCATGTATCAAATGTGTTCCAGAATGCGATAAAATAGCCAGTGGAGAATCAAGTAAGGCTAATCCACATACACAATGTGGTAGAGCTACACACGAAGGTGAAGACGAAAATGACAAGAGAAGCAATTTAAAAAAAAGGAATAATCAATTGAAGCACACTGCAGCATTGACAAACACATTACTCTAACCTGGGGACTAAGGGTA